ATTAATAGAACATTATATTTACGTTACTAGAACATTATATTTAAGTTACTAGAACATTATATTTACGTTACTAGAACATTATATTTACGTTACTAGAACATTATATTTAAGTTACTAGAACATTATATTTACGTTACTAGAACATTATATTTACGTTACTAGAACATTATATTTACGTTACTAGAACATTATATTTACGTTACTAGAACATTATATTTACGTTACTAGAACATTATATTTACGTTACTAGAACATTATATTTAAGTTACTAGAACATTATATTTACGTTACTAGAACATTATATTTAAGTTACTAGAACATTATATTTACGTTACTAGAACATTATATTTACGTTACTAGAACATTATATTTAAGTTACTAGAACATTATATTTACGTTACTAGAACATTATATTTAAGTTACTAGAACATTATATTTACGTTACTAGAACATTATATTTACGTTACTAGAACATTATATTTAAGTTACTAGAACATTATATTTACGTTACTAGAACATTATATTTACGTTACTAGAACATTATATTTACGTTACTAGAACATTATATTTACGTTACTAGAACATTATATTTACGTTACTAGAACATTATATTTAAGTTACTAGAACATTATATTTTACTAGAACATTATATTTTACTAGAACATTATATTTACGTTACTAGAACATTATATTTACGTTACTAGAACATTATATTTAAGTTACTAGAACATTATATTTACGTTACTAGAACATTATATTTAAGTTACTAGAACATTATATCTAAGTTACTAGAACATTATATTTAAGTTACTAGAACATTATATTTAAGTTACTAGAACATTATATTTACGTTACTAGAACATTATATTTAAGTTACTAGAACATTATATTTACGTTACTAGACACTGACTCTCGGACACAAACTTGAAATGAATACACTTTCCACTGTAAGTAACTCACCCTATGGATAGCTCTGACAAAGACTCACGTGTGACCTGAGGGAGGACCAGCGGGTGCTGCTGGACTATGTCTCCTATGGAAGACTCTGCTAGCTGGTGACGCGAGGCTGGGGAGGGAAGTCTCCTTCCCGACCTCGACTAGTGACGAGCGTGACTCCGTCTTCCGTCGATAGTGTTGTGAAAGTTGTCTGAATTTGAATCCGGCGTGGAATAGGGTGCAGGGCCTATATATATATGAGATCTCCAACCGGCAGATGACCTCCCATAATTAACACTAAACTGGTTAGATCTGGACAGCTGTGTTTGCCCAGGTGTGGTCATTTCGCCGGTCGGTAATGCTTTCTAATTATTGCCACCCAGGTGTGTCTTGGCAAGGTGTGGTTTCCTTATCACGGTCATATCACCCGGTTAACTAAAGTACTTTGTGGCCGGGGTCAGGTCTCCTGGGTCCCTGTAGGGTGTGTCAACTTATGGGTGTACCTCTGCTCATCTGTTATATGTGTTGTATTTCTCTGGGCTGTAAGCTGTGGTCTGATAAACAATCATTACTGTGCAACTTACTGTGTATGAATTGTGCAAATATAATACCATTTTGAGAGTTAATACTAAAATAATTAGACTATTCTAAATGGACTGTATTGTTGCAGCTTTGTATTCATGGTCACGTTGTTGTGAACTGCTGCACAACTAGCCTTGTATGTCAGCCAGGACACTTGTCAGCTCCGGGTCCATTATTAAGTACTGTACCTGTGCCGGTTACATAAGAAAATAAGGAGTCTGCAATAGGCCGGTTGGCCTGTGTATGGCAGCTTCTGTCGAGAGTTACTCCCACTCTCCATCATCCATGAATATATCCAGCCTCCCTTTGAAACTTTCCAGCGTTCCAGCACTTACTACAAAGTTGCTAAGCTTGTTCCACTCGTCCACCACCCTATATGTGAACCAGTTCCTTCCTATCTCCCTCCTAAACCTAAACTTATCCAACTTAAATCCGTTGCTCCGAGTCCTATCCTGCTCGGATATTATAAGAACTTTATCTATATTCCCTTTATTGATTCCTTTCACCCACTTAAATACTTCTATCATATCTCCCCGCACTCTTCGTCTTTCTATGAAATGCAAGTTTAGTTTCTTTAACCTATCCTGATATGGAAGGTTTCTAAGTCCCGGAATAATTTTCGTCATTCTTCGCTGCACCGACTCTAGTGACTTGATATCCATTCTATAATAAGGGCACCAGAACTGAACCGCATAATCGAGGATACTTGATCTCCTGTGAAAATCTTGAGGGGAAGACACCAATTACCCACCTGTGCCGTGTGTATATACAAGACCCCACGCTTGACATCCAGTGTTTACACTCCCGACATTTGTTCTGACCGGCAGTCCTGCACTTCCAAACCTACCTATGATTATGTTGCTCTGTACCGCCATGCCGATTATAACTGGTCAGCATAAAAAAAAATTTCTCATGGTTCTGGATCAAAACAGTCTGATTCTAGTGTAATTGTATGTGCTGAACTCAATTGTGACATTCGTATAGCTGTATCAGGCTCAGTTTTCCAGAACCAGCATATCTATATATTTAGTGTACCATGCTATTCATACAGTAATTTATATGCTCATTGGCTCCACTTATGCAATTATTTTGTCCTGATTTGTGCTTTTTTGTTTGTTTCAGTTTGCTGATTCATGATATTGCATATCTACACCTGCATGATTTGTAATTACTCTGAAATTAACAAAACATGGAACGTCGCAAGTGTGTGAACGGTGCTGACAGTTTTTGCTACATATGTGGTGCCTTCACTCCTGGTAGCCTCAAGAAACCAATCACAAAAGCTGTTCGACTGAACTACAAAAGTTACTTCAAATGTCATTTGGGTGACCAAGACAAGAAATGGGCACCTCATGTAGCCTGTAAGTCTTGTGTTAACCACCTGAGCGAGTGGATGTGTGGTAAACGAAGTTCAGGAATGCCGTTTGCTGTACCAATGATATGGCGTGAACCTAAAGACCACAGTAGTGACTGCTACTTCTGTCTCACAAATATTAAGGGAATAAAAATCAAGACACGAGGCAAGGTACAGTACCCCAATATTGCTTCTGCAATCCGACCAGTACCGCACAGTGCTGAACTTCCAGTCCCAAATCCACCGACTGAACAAGAATTGAGTGATTCCGATTCTACCTCTACCTCAATGGAAAACGACTACCAGGATGACTCTGAAAATACCAGGCCTAAACTATTTACTCAAGAAGCGCTTCATGATCTCATCAGGGACCTAAACTTGTCAAAAGAAAAGGCTGAAGTTTTGGGATCCAGACTAAAGCAGCGTAACCTGCTAGAAGATGGAGTGCATATCACTACAGTGCGTTACCGACATAGACAGCTGTCTGCATTTTTCAAGATGGCAAACAACCTTTGTTATTGCGAGGACGCAGTATCTCTCATGCAACAACTCTGCAAGTCTGAAACATACAAGACAGAGGATTGGAGGCTGTTTATAGACTCAGGAAAAGACTCTCTGAAAGCTGTTCTTTTACACAATGGCAATCGGCTTCCATCTGTCACAATAGCACACGCAACAAAAATGACTGAGAGCTATGAAACAATGAAAATTATGTTGGCCGCTATAGAGTATGAGAAACACCAGTGGAAGATATGTGGCGATCTCAAAGTCATCAGTTTACTACTGGGCCTTCAGAGTGGCTACACAAAGCACATGTGCTTTTTGTGCTTGTGGAACAGCAGAGCTGATGCAGAGCACTATGTGAGAAAGGATTGGCCGACAAGACCAAGAGATGCGCCTGGAAGGTGTAACTGTGCTCACAATCCGCTTGTAGATCCAGAAAATATATTTTTGCCTCCACTGCATCTAAAGCTCGGTTTGGCTAAAAATTTCATCAAAGCTATGGATCAATTCGGTGCTGGGACTCTATACTTATCTCAGAAACTAGGTGGTGTGGTTTCCGAAGCCAAGTTGAAAGCAGGTGTCTTGAATGGACCACAAATTCGTATACTAGTTAATGATAGCGAATTCACCAAAACATTGAACCCACTGGAGAAAAAAGCATGGGAATCATTTGTCAATGTGTCAAAGAATTTTCTTGGAAACTATCGTGCTGACAACTACAAAGAAATAGTAACAACCATGCTTCAGAATTATCATGCATTGGGAGCAAGGATGTCCTTGAAATTGCATTTTTTCCACTCTCATATTGAATTTTTCCCAGGTAACCTTGGAGACGTTAGTGATGAACACGGCGAAAGATTTCATCAAGATATCGCCATAATGGAGAGCAGATATCAGGGACAATTGAGTCCTAACATGATGGGCGCCTATTGCTGGACACTGCAACGAGAAGAGAGCAAGCTGTACAAGAGAAAGAGAAAAGTTCAAAAGCACTTTTAGAACTTCATATTTTGTCATTATAAAGGTTTTGAACTTATGTTTTTTGGTACAATTTTTTATGAGCTTATCTGTGATAGGTTTAAAATTGTATCTTGCATGACGCGATAATGTTACCATATTTACTATTTTTTTTATTCTTTAAGAAAGTAGGTCTGATGGTAGAATGAAACATCCAATTAATATTCATTAATATGAAATTAGTCATGAAAGCACATGATGGAATATTAAATATTTGTACCTATTGATTTTTTTATAAAACCTGGTCTGATAGAACAAAACAAATATCAGATTCGAATTCAGCAATATGAAATTAGTTGTGTGAGCATGATCTCATATGTGAACCATTTTGGCTGTTGACCAGTGGAATTATCAGTGAAAATACTTGTAAAGAGACATGTTTTGTTACAAATATCCATAATCCTGTTCAGTATCCTTGGGGAAGGCTGAAGTGTTCCACCTGACAGTAATCTTTAATAGAACCAAAGGGCGTCAGCATCTCAACCCTCGATAGTATTGCTTACACTTCAGATCAAAGGTCGGAGCGCCATCGTCAATTAGTTAGCTGTTAATGCCTTTATCTCACTAGCGTAATTCTCAACACACTTTCTTGTATCCTCCCCTACAGATGACTTCCTGCTGGCGCCGCTGACAGTAGTGAGAATCCTGAACGACGTGTGTGTGGCGAGCAGCGGTCGTGTGGGCACCTGCATGTCTAAGAACGAGTGTGTCAGAAAGAGAGGAACAGGCACCGGTACATGTGCTCGGGGCTTCGGCGTGTGTTGTGTCAGTGAGTACAGTACTCTCGCTCACCCAGGCAAGGTAATGACAGGGTAGATTAGGTTAGGATATATCCAATCCCAAACTTTCCAGGGAAACACTTCATTACCGAGATTGAATTTAGTTGAAATGAAACAGTTTATTTAGCCAGAAAATTACAGATACAGAGTGGATAATATTAACAATATGACATGGCTGAGCCAGTTGAGAGCCGGAGCTCTCTTAGTGGCACCTGATATGTACTGTACATTTATCCCAAGGAAGTATTATGTACCATAATGGTGGTAGTAAGAACATATCAGAATGTTACCACGACTTTCACTTCGGTATTTGTTTATTTTATTTATTTACATTTATATTATAAGTACTGTATACAGGTATATATATTTTACAGTGTATTTGATATAAATTAATATGATAAGTGAGGGAAGTTGTACAACATGAGTTGTACTAAGGTGAAACAAAGGGACAGAAGGTCACAGTAAGACGGTGACAGTTGCAAGGTGAGGACTTCCAGATACGGTGAGTCAGGAGGAAATATTCATTGTCTCAGGTTAATTACACTGTTAACAATATGGTGATATATTTATTAGCAGTGGGAGGCAGTAACGCTTGTGGCCATAGAGAACGGGGTGTGGCAGGTAGTGGGAGGCAGTAACAGTTGTGGCCACAGAGAACGGGGTGTGGCAGGTAGTGGGAGGCAGTAACAGTTGTGGCCACAGAGAACGGGGTGTGGCAGGTAGTGGGAGCCAGTAACAGTTGTGGCAACAGAGAACGGGGTGTGGCAGGTAGTGGGAGTGGCCACAGAGAACGGGGTGTGGCAGGTAGTGGGAGCCAGTAACAGTTGTGGCCACAGAGAACGGGGTGTGGCAGGTAGTGGGAGGCAGTAACAGTTGGCCACAGGGAGCAGGGTGTGGCAGGTGGTGGGGAGCCAGTAACAGTTGTGGCCTCAGAGGGAGCAGGGTGTGGCAGGTAGTGGGGAGGGCAGTAACAGTTGTGGCCACAGAGACAGGTGTGTGAGTGGTGGGAGCCAGTAACAGTTGTGGCCTCAGAGAACGGGGTGTGGCAGGTAGTGGGAGACAGTAACAGTTGTGGCCACAGAGAACGGGGTGTGGCAGGTAGTGGGAGGCAGTAACAGTTGTGGCCACAGAGAACGGGGTGTGGCAGGTAAGGGGAGGCAGTAACAGTTGTGGCCACAGAGAACTGGGTGTGGCAGGTAGTGGGAGGCAGT